GCTTAGGGCTTAGGGCTTACCTGGGAAACCCTGGGTTTCAAAAAAAAGGCTATGAGGAGGAAAGTGCAATATTTCCGCCATCTCCTGGGAAAATTGGCATGTTGAAGTTTTTGGTTTTCAGGGTTGCCAGGCAAAAATTGAAATGTTGAGCAGTGGGGTCTTGCCAAAAAACGGAACGTCAAAAACAAAAAACGGCATTTCAGATTTTCAGAACTTGCATTTGGCCATGTCGGTTTGGCCCAGCTCTGTGGTATGTTGGCTTGTATCCTGGAATTGGATACAACTATATTACGCCATGAGGCCCAGAACTAAGCCTGAACTCTGGCAATACCTTGACCTGAAACCTCATTCATGAGACCCATCGTAGCCTCGGAGCATCCCAGTTTTTGAGGGCTTATGTGAGCCGCAGTTGCACTTTGGGGCATGATGTCCAAGCACTGCACGGCTTGCAAGCAGCAGGCACTAGACACCGGGCTTTCGCGCTCAGAGTTTGTCAGGCAAAAAGCTTCCAGAAGCGCGGCAGAGCCGAAACCAAACCTGGACTCACGGTTCAACACCTCAGCAAACCAAAACCCAATACACGTTAAATATAAACCCTTATATATTTATGGTGAGTGTCGAATCCCACACATAACACCCTGAATCCCAGACCACATGGCGTGCGCGCAAGCTGGCAGACAGCACGCAGCTGATGTCTCAAGATTTGCGGCCTCTCCCGGTATTTCTGCCACTTCAAAATGGAAAAACTGAAACTTCGGGCTGGCCCGAAAAATTGCATTCCGGCGTTTTCCGCCATTTGACCGCCGATTTCCGCCATCTCGCCGCCTATTTCCGCCATCTCTTTTTTCCAATGTGTTTCAAAAAACGCTATTTTGATTTTCAAAAAACGCTATTTTGAGTTCTAAAATAAAACTGATTAGCCCTCCGCCCTCTCGGTTCCCTTCCACCCCCCCACCCCCCACCCACTACCCCTCCCCCCCCCTTCCGGTGGAGCCATCGCACGAAAGTTCAGTGTGTTGGTTTAAAGCTTAATTTAAGGTCTTGCATGATATGGGCTTAGGGTTGCGAATGTTTTATAGGGTGTTTGGGCTGGAGAAGCGCCAATCTTCGAAGCACAGTCAGGGAGCAATGGCAAGAGCTCTCTTTTCAGGGTTTAGGGCTTGGGTTAAAGCGTCGGAACAAGGATTTGGCGTGCATGCGAGGCATCGTACATGCTCTGCACAACGGTCACAGTTCTGCAGTGTTGGGCTTAGGGTTTTAGGGGTTTAGGGTCCATAGCATTAAGGGTTTAAGTATTGTAGGTTTATGGTCGATCTTCGTTGATCGAGACATAGTACATGCTCTGCGCGATGCCGCTGGAGCATCAACCTACTGCACACGAAAAACGCGATCTCAGAAAATGAAAAACGCAATCACAGGACTGAAAAAAGGCATCTTCCAAAGACCGTTTGTCAAAAAACTTCAATCCCAATTCTTGCCCACCAAACCCTTAAGCAGCTGTTTCCGCCATTTCGTGGGGTTTCCGCCATCCACTGGGCAAAACCAGTTTTAGTTGAAACTACTAAAATTCTGTAGGGTTTGGGTTTCCCAGGTAGGGCTTAGGGCTTAGGGCTTAGGGCTTAGGGCTTCGGGCTTAGGGCTTAGGGCTTAGGGCTTAGGGCTTAGGGCTTAGGGTTTAGGGTTTAGGGTTTAGGGTTGGGGTGGGGAGGGGTGGGGGCGGCCATGTGCTTAGCATCACCATGCAGCACCCGTTTGCAGAAACATGTGTTTTGGAGAGTCTGCGTGATGTAGTCCGCGAAGCTTGAAGAGCTTGGGGTTTCGATCCTAACCTCCCCAAACCCTAAACCCTAAACCCCAAACCCCAAACCCTAAACCCTAGAGAGCCTAAAAGGGATAGAGCTGAGGCCGCAACTTCAGGTCTGTGCAGAAGCCGGTGGTTTCCTTGGCTGCAGGAGCTCTCGCAGCCCGAGGAATACACGGGGAATTGCTTGTTTTTTGGCCTCAGCCCGCGAACCCTATGAGGGCTTGGGGTTTAGGGTCTAGGGTTTATAGGGTTTATCGACTCAAACCATGCCACAACCCCCCCCCCCCCCACCGCCAAAGCACGAAAAACCCTGAACATCTTAAGTAAAAGCAAAGGAGGCCAACCTCCCCCTAACCCCGAAACCCTAAACCCTGAACCCTAAACCCTGAACCCTGAACCCTAAACCCCAAACCCTAAACCCTAAACCCTGAACCCTAAACCCCAAACCCTAAGCCCTAAACCCTCGCACGAGGCCGGGGCCCACTGCAACTCCGCACCCGGCTTGGGGGCCGCCTGGCTCGCCTCAAAAACTCCAGGAGCTTGCCCAGGTTGAGGCCCCAGGGTGTTTTTGGGGGTTTAGGGTTTAGGGTTTGGGGTTTAGGGTCTGGGGTTTGGGGTTTGATTGGGGTTAGATTGGGGTTTTAGAGGTTTTGAAGGGGGGTCTAGGGCGCTTCGGGGGGTCTAGGGCCTTGCAGCAAAGCCAAAACCCTCCGCCAGGACACGCAAACCCCTCCTCCCCGGAAGACAAACAACCCAAAGCCTCAAGTCCTGCTTGCCCCTTCCCTAAAAACTAGCACCCTAAACTCTAAATCCATGTACCCTAACCCCTAAACCCAAGCACCCTAAACCCTAAACCCAAGCACCCTAAACCCTAAACCCAAGCACCCGAAACCCTGAACCCTAAACCCTAAACCCTAAACCCTAAACCCAAACCCAAGCACCCTAAACCCTAAACCCTGAGAAGAAAGAGGGCTTCGTAACCTGGTCTCAGTGCCGAGCGCTGTCTGGTGCCCTGCGCCACCGACGGAAGAAAGCGAGCTGGCCGCCTTGTAGGGGTTAGGGGTCTTGGGATTTCCGGATTTAGGGTTTAGGGTTTAGGGGTTGAGGGTTGAAGATTTAGGGGTCTTATGGTGTTTGGGTTTGGGGTCCAGGGTCTTCTGTTTTCATTGGTTTTGGGTCCAGGGTTCAGGGTTAGGAATGATGGGGTTGCAGAATATTTCAGGTATAGGGTCCATAGGGGGAGGGTTGAGGAGGTTCAGTGAGGGTTGAGGGGTAGGGCATGATAGGGGCATGAAAAGCAGAAGACTGAGAAAATTTTAGGTACACCTCAAACTAAGCCTGTAATGGTTTAGTATTCAGGAGGCTTTGATATGGGTTTAGGGTGTAGAGTTCGAGTTAAAGGGCGTGATGGGTTATAAAGGGCTCAGCGATTGCGACAGAGGTTTTGGCCCAAGCAGGTTTAGTAGACCAATACCCCTAGCTCGAACAAGCTCAAAGTGTGTGGGCTTTATTGCCATTGTAAGCTCTAGTTAAAACCTACATCTTGAAACCTTAGACCCAAAACCCGAATCCTAGACCCAAGAGTAACCTAGGAAAACAAAATGGCGCCCTTTTTTGGTTTAAAGGAGCTTCTAAGGGAACCTAAACCCTAGAAAAGGGGGAACAAGGGGCTACTCTGCCCAAACAGTTTCAGGGGCTTTGGGCCAAACACAGAATCAAGACCCGGGAGGAACCTGGGAATAAAAATGGTGCCCTTCTTGGTTTTTTAAAGTGGGGATTCTAAGGGAACCCCAACCCTAAAAAAAGGAAATAAGGGCCCTAAGCCCTGAACCCTAGACCCTAAACCCTCCTAGGAATGGCCCAAAACCGACCGAAGGAGCTGACCACGCCTTGAAGATAGAGGCCCATGGCGCCCTGCAGCAAAGAAGGGCTCCAAAAGGCGCACGGTCTAGGGTTTAGGGTTTAGGGTTTAGAGTTTAGGGTTTAGGGTTAGGGGGTTTCAGGACTTGGGGTGTAGGTTTGGGGTGGCTTGAACTCAACCTTGCTTCTGCCGCCTCGTTGGTGTGAGCACTTCCTCATAAGAGCCTTGAACGTTCAACACCTTTCCTTCAGCTTCTCAGCTAGGGGTCTGCGATCCTTTTGTGTGTGTGTGTCATGTTTTATTATTACTATTAGTATCATTATTATTATTCATTATTCTTATTTTTTGTTTTAATATATATATATATATATATGTCTTTTTTTTTTGGGGGGGGGGTGCTGATGGCGCCTCGAATCGACGCCCCGGTGGAGCTGGAGGCAGTAGATGTATGTACCTGTGAGATGCTCGCAGCAGCGACAAGGACAAGGCTCTTGAGTTGAGGCATAACGGGGTTTCAGGAAGATTTTCCCAGGGGAAGGCCTACTAGAGGGGCCTTAGTAATAGTAGTAGCATTTTGTAGGAACGATAAGGGAACCCGATTAGTAATTATTCCGACCCCTTGTATGAAGCCCCTAGTTCGAATGGGGCTTTTGAGTCAAAATAGGAAACCTAAACCCTAGACCCTAAACCCTGAACCCTAAACCTTAAACCCTATCTGAAATCATTCCGACCCCTGGTATGAAACCCCCAAAGCCCACAGCATCCTAAAGCCCTGAATCCTGGAGGCTTGGGCTAGGGTTTAGGGTTTAGGGCTCAGGGTTTAGGGTTTAGGGTTTGGGGTTTAGGGTTTACGGGCTTAGGGATAGGACCGCTTTGGTCAAGAACAAAAACTGACGCCATCCTGTGCTCTGCAGATACAGGCCCAAAGAGCCCCCCCCCCCCCAAAAAAAAAAAAACTCAATTAAGGAATAGACCTTGAATCATATTACGGGTCTCCTTATAAACTAATTAGGGTTTCGGGTTTAGGGTTTAGGGGATTTTCCTGAATTAAGGGGTATTGGGCCCAAATATTGCAATATTTCCACAGGCGAAACTTGGCGGATGCTCGGATCCCATTGTCACATGCCCTCCTCGAGAGCAATGCCCCTGCAGCGCCATTTGTGGGGAGCAAGAGGTCGAGGGAGCAGAGGCAGATATCTTTGCCCTTGTGCCAACTGAAACCCTAAACCCTAAACCCTAAACCCTAAACCCTAAACCCTAAACCCTAACAACATGAGTGAGGCAGAATCTTTTTGCTCACTGTGCTGGGCCGCGACGCTTGCGGTGAGGGCCAGGTCACTTTGGGCGGCAGGGAGGGTTAAGAGGGCTAAGGGCCTGGAACTCTGGACGGCTCGCAGCGCTCCACTTCGGGTGCGTAGATACGTTGCAGGCGTCGGTGGTGCCATCTTGCGCCCTAGCCAGGATGTAGACCTGGGGGGATAGGAGCATGTTCAGTCCAGGCCACCTTGGCTCGAGTTTCATGGCGCTGAAGCCGTACACGATAGCGGTGCAGTGGTAGCCGGGCACTTCGGGAAACTCGGAGAGCAGTCGGTCAAATCCTTTTGCCGACAAGGCGTGGGGACTCAGATTCTCTTCTTTGGAGTACTGCCAGTCTGAACGCTCCTGAAGAAATCGAGACACGCCAGAAATAGCTGCCATGTTGCCAATGTGCACGGCCAGCGGTTGGGACGAGTTGCACTCGGTCGCGTGCAGACCGGCGAGAGCCAGTCCACCCGGGTAGTTGAAAAATGAGGCGAACGTCATGATGCAAGTGACGAACATAGACCCAAGGCCCAGGAGAAAGAGGCCCACGGTAGCCAGCCGTCTCCACCGCCCCTTCCATCGCAGGGCGCGCGCACCTGCAACGCCGGCGGCCGCGTTCAGGAGTGGAAGGACCGGGAGGATGAATCGAAGCTCCTTATGCGGCAAGAAGGAGTACAGGGCTACGAAGGCCAGAGGGATCAGAACGAGCGGCCGCGCCCGTGGCTCGATGGTCGCCGCCAGTAGGGCGAGAGGTAACGCGCCCAAAAGCGCTTTGGGCAGAGCGGAGTAGAAGTACCAGAGCGGTGGAAGAGTTCCCCACTCACCTTGGGGACCAAGTGAACCCGAAAGTTGCGGGCATATACCCTATTCTACTATACTCCTGATTTAAGGCATATGGAACATAACCCTTTTAGGGTTCATTTAGTCCCCAAGGCACTGGACTTGTTTTCCGCAGTGTTGAACCACAGGACCTCGAACTCGGGCCAAAGCCGTCGCTGCCAGAGCACAGAGTCAACAGCCACCGAAAGCCTTGGCGGCCCAGTAACCAAATTGCACCAGGGGTACCCTACTATTGTTGGGGGTTGGTTACTTGATAAGGGAACCCAGAACCCCCAAAAAAGGAGGGCAAACGGGTACCATTGCGCTACCCAGAGTCGAAGCACCCAAGAAGGCGGCCAGGGCAGTGGCAGCTGCGGCCTTGAGGAAGTTCACCCGGCGCTGCCACAGCAACACGAGGCCGACTGGTGCCTTGGGAAACTACACGAGTCCCTGAATCCGGGTCTTGTATTGGGATCAGGTACCCCATGCTCCTGCAAACCCTAAACCCTAACCCCCAACCCTAAACCCTAAACCCTTATAAACCCTATAAACCCTAAACCCTAAACTTGCCATATGGACCAAAGCCGTTTTGGTGTACTTTCGCCCCCCCAAGGAACGATCAAGACCAGCAGGTCGCAGCGGAAGATGGCGGCTGCAAGGCCCAAGAGCGCCAAGCACGTGTAGCCACTGCCAAACACCAGCCTCAGCTGGTTTAGGGGTTAGGGTCTATGTAGGGTCCAGGGTTTAGGGCTTAGGGTTAATCACTTCTTTTGCCTGTGAGGAGTATTCCTGGGCAACATCGCCTCAACGCCAAGAAGGGGTCGGAAAAACAGAAAGCTCCCCTAGCGCCCTGCCTAGCAGCTCTGACTGGGCCATGGTTGCCAGCTGCAGAGCAAAGACATTTGGGAGCGTCCGGCTCCTTACATATTATGACAAGGGCACTCTTTTTTGGTTGGTTACTTTATAAGGGAACCCAGAACCACAAAAAAAAAGTAAAGGGTACCACTGGGCTACCAAGGCTCATGTAGAAGGGAAGGTGGAACTGCGTCATCGTCAGCAGCGCCATGAGACGTGAGGCCACGAAGCCGAACTCGGCCTCCACCGCGAGTCGCAGGTTTGCGTGCATGACGACCGACACGAGGCCCAGCATGAAGCGCACCCAGCGCAACAGCGAGGGGCCCTGTAAGCCCATGAGTTGCCAGGGGTAAGCAAGCCCCGAGACCATGAGTGAACCCAGGAATGTACGGGGCACCGCCCCTGGAAACTGCAGGTGGTCATACCTAGTTCATGGTTGGGATAGTCTTAAAAACTTATGTTCATAGTCCTTCTTGGGTTTAAGTACCCTCAACAATGTAAAATGTTCCCCAACTATGACAAAGATACTGCCCATGGTCTTTGCCATGCTTGAGTATGTCGTGGCAGGCCTGGAGATTGAAGCTTTCCTCAACCTTGGTGTAAGGAGTCGAAATGACGTGGAGGGTCACCACAATCAGCAGCAGGCCATCGTAGATCATCTCGAATAAGCCAGCTGACCAACTTGATCGATCTTCGATGTATTCTTCCATATCTTCCATGTCTTCTTCCATTAGCGCAGAGGCTTCTAGAAGGCAGTATTGCGGGATTTGTGGTGCGAAGCGTGAGCCCGCTGAGTGCCAAGAGATCTCAACAAGCATGTGGCATGCGGGCTGGGATGACGCAAACTTCCTGGACCACTTTATGAACCCCCCCCCATTCTACTGCAATCGATTGGACCATATGAATCCTGCTAGGCTTCTCGTCTCCTAGTTCAGGGTTGGGATAGTATTGAATCCCACACTCCTTGTCCTTATTTAGTTTTAAGTACCCTGAAACAGGAAAAAAATTACCCCACTATGACAAATTCTGAGGGTTGTGTGTATCAACAACGACCAACCCCTAAACCCTAAACCCTAAATCCTAAACCCTAAACCCTAAACCCTAAACCGGAGAAGGGCACGTTCCTTCAATGGCTCTCGGAGACTCGCGCACCTTGCGCTCGCCTGAGTGAACAGCTGGGTGCCCATCTTGCGCCACTGACCAATCCCGGGTAAGGGCCTTTGGGGTTTAGGGTTTAGGGTTTAGGGTTAGTTTAGGGTTTAGGGTTTTAGGGTTTAGGGTTTTGGGTTTAGGGTTAGAGGGTGACACCATATAATCAAACACTCAACTATCAACCAAAAGCCGAAAAACCCAAGCGCTATGTAAGTGCCAGACCATCTCAACCCTCCTTGAGGACCAAAGGAACCCTAAGATTGCGGTTCGTTTCCCCTATACTACTATAATCCCTACTAAGGTATATGGACCAGACACCCTTTTGGGGTTCAATTCGTCCCCAAGGCGAAGATTCTGCTTCAGCTCCGAGGCGCAGCCATCATGTCCCGAGCAGACCGTCGAACTCAGGTCATCTTAAGTGCCTTGACCTCTTCCGCCCCAGGATCATTCAGGTTTAGGGTTTAGGGTTTGGGGTTTAGGGTTTAGGGTTTGGGGTTTAGGGTTTAGGGTTCAGGGTTTAGGGTTTAGGTTTGGCAAAAAACTATCCCCCTAGAACAGGCCCAAACCAGCCCATCCTGGAATGACGCTGAGCACTTCACGAAGCACAGCGCCGGTTTCGGGGCTGAAGGTGACGCCTGCAAAGTCGACGATTCATAGTTTTGGGAAAAAGGCCCTTGGGGACTAAATGAGCCCTAAAAGGCTGTATGGTCCATATGCCTTAAGGGAATATAGTAGTATAGCGTATATGCCCCCAATTTTAGGGTTCATGTGGTCCTCAACGGGTTCAGGGTTAGGGGTTTAGGGAGGCCACCTCCAAGGTATCCTATTCTAATTGGAGGCGACATGGACCCTCATTGGGATCGTATACCCGGTTCTGCTCATTTGCTTGTTTCCCGATGCAGGAACATGGACCATCGGCCCGTTTTGGGGTTCTCCTGTTCTTTGGACGACAGCCCCGCTCTACGTCTTCATCCGCTCGCAAACGCCATTGGGGCGCCAACTGCTCCGACCGCCATTCTCAAAGTCAACGACGGCCAGGCTCAGGTTGTCGGCGTTGGCGCTGACCTTTAGGGTTTAGGGTTTAGGGTTTATAAGGGTTTAACCGTACTCGCATGTGCTCGCGCATCTACTACCAGGATGGGTTATTCTACCCTATAACCCCTTACACAGGCCCTGATAGCCCATCTGCTTGTAACAAAAGCGGCACGCGGTCTGGTGCAGATCCTTTTCAAGGCTCGCCAATGCTGGTGACGCAAAAGCTGGGGTTGTTCTAGATCCCCTGAACAGGAAGAGCGTATAATCCCAAGGGGAAAGCCCAGCGGGGGTGCCTTGAAACCTGAACACTCGTAAAACCACGAACATTATTAATACTTAATCCTATGGGCTATCTCACCGTTTAACACCCTTAAAAAGAACCCTTTTTACAGGGTTGACTAAGTTGACTATGGGGATTCGAAGCAGCCTGATAGTCCTTCTATAACCCCTTTGAAACGCCCTACCCTAAACCCTAAACCCTAAACCCTAAACCCTAAACCCTAAACCCTAAACCCTAAACCCTAAACCCTAAACCCTAAACCCTAAACCCTAAACCCTAAACCCCTAAACCCTAAACCCTAAACCCTAAACCCTAAACCCCAAACCCCTAAACCCAAAACCCTAAACCCTAAACCCTGGAAAAACAACTCTTTAAGAGGGTTCACTTGTGTGGACTCTAAGAGGCCGCACTAGGTCCATCCTGAAGCTGTGCAGGCCTCCACTTCCACGTAGACTCCAATCTCGGGCTTGTCTTTCAGGATGTCCGAGCCTTAGAGTAGGGTTTAGGGTTTAGGGTTTAGGGTTTAGGGTTTAGGGTTTAGGGTTTAGGGTTTAGGGTTTAGGGTTTAGGGTTTAGGGTTTAGGGTTTAGGGTGTAGGGTTTAGGGTTTAGGGTTTAGGGGTTTAGCGATTTTCGGGTTTAGGGTACAGTACCTCAACCACTAGTTGCTTAAGACCCCCAACAAAATCAAAATATTCTTCCATACTAGGGCAAAAAGGAATGGCTATCTTTTGTGTTTGTTGGGGGGTCCTTTAGCACATAGTAGTCAACGCGCATGATGCGCAGCGCATGGGACTAAAGCAAATGGGCACATGGGAAGGGCTGGTAGGGTTCAGCGCTCAAGGTTCATGAAGGGCTTGGGGCTATGGCAATGGAAGCTTACAAATTTACTGCTGCCCTTGTCCCATGCTTACATCGGAAAGGTTCGGGTAGATTGTGCCGAGAGCCGCGGCCACCACGACAAAGCCCACAGCCCGTAAACCATGTCACTCTGAAACCCAAACCCAACGGGCCTAGACGCTACACACTGAGCCCTCCGGCCATAAACTGTGAACCCTAAACCCTTCGGCCATAAACTCTATAAACCCTAAACCGCAAGCTCCAAACCCTAAACCATAACATCTAAACCCTAAACCCACGCTGCATGTAAGGGATGTTCACTCCGGCAGATCTCAGGCATGGGCGCAGTCGGCATCGGCAGTAGGCCACCTGCTGCCATTTTTTTTAATTCTAAATATGCTATATATGCATATATATATATATACATATATATGGTCATCCTCCAGCCCCACCCCTAAATGCACCCACCTCGGCCAAAACCCAACCCAAAACCGTAAACCCTGTAAACGAAGAAGCTAGGAACCTGCGGTTCTCTAAGCCCTAGATTGCAGAGTTTAATTTGAATTCCTCAACCCCGGGCCCTCAAAGTCCCGCATTCTCTGCTCATGAGTACCAGGATGGGCCATTTCCCCCTATAACCCCTTGAAACCGGTCTAGGGCTCAGGGCTTAGGGTTTAGGGTTGAGGGCTACCAGGAACTCTTATACCCTATATATATATATATATATATATTTATTCATTTATTTATGTATATTTATATATATATACACATGTATATATATATATATGTATATATATGTATATATATATATATGTATATATATATATATATAACCCCTGACAAATGGCCCTTTATAGGGCTGATGATGGGGACTCTATCACGCATCCTTGCAGGCTGCAGGAGGGCCTCGTCAGCGCTTTCAACCTTTGCGATTTCCGAGCCTGGCAGTGATGGAGTTGGGGTTTAGGGTTTAGGGTTTATTAGGGTTTAGGGTTTAGGGTTTAGGGTTTAGGGTTTAGGGTTTAGGGTTTAGGGTTTAGGGTTTAGGGTTCAGGGTTAGTTTAAGGGTTTGTAGGGCTCACATTCTGCAATCTGAGACGGCTGCCGCTGAAGGGAGGACTGAACGTCGGCGTTATTCTGCCTGAGGCTGGCATCTGAAGTGCCCTAAACTTCGGGCTAAGGGCATGGTTAGTAATAGGGTTTAGTGGGTTTAGGGTTTAGGGTTTAGGGTTTAGGGTCAGTTTAGGGTTTGAGTTTTGGGCCCGCAGCGTTGCTGGAGGCTTCGGCCTAATGCTAAAAATCCCCCCATACTAAGCGTGTAAGGAGTTTGGGGGGGGGGGGGGGGTGCGGGTGAGTCGGAACCCTACACCGACATCTAACCTTCACCTGCTTGACGCTTCACCGGCAGGTACTTACAACCTTATGCCAAAGGGTCCATGTACCAATTTAGTATATACTTCGGCCTTAAAGGAGTAGCTTTGGGTCCCAATGGGTACATGGAACCTTAGGGTATGTCCAGGAACCGATTTCTCATACCCCCGAGCTTAATCCGAACCTTCAATGGTGCAGGATTGCTCCAGGATTACTCGGGCCAGCACGAAACTTCTCGCAGCGCGCCTGTGTGCATCGGACTTTGGTAGGATGTAAGGGCGGGTTTACGAAATTAGGGTCTTTTGGGGCTTCTAGGGCCTGGAAGGTTTCGGGCAGTAGTTTTATTGAATCGCTGCTGTGGTGCTCTTTTGTTGGGCGGTGAGAGCACCCCAATCTGGGCCTCATCGGGTTTCTAGGCTACCGGTACTACCCTACTTGTGGGCTGATCTGAACCATGGAGCCTAATTGGTACGCTAGACGAGACGGTTTAGGGTTTGGAGCTGAGGGCTTGGGTTTGAGAGTCCTAAACCCTAATCCCTGAAACCCTAAAACCCCAGAACCCTCAACCCTGGAACCCGAAAATTCCTGAACCCCTAAAGCCCTAAACCCCCTAGAGTCCGTAAAACCATGAGGGTATTTTGGGTTCAGGATTTAGAGTCTAGGGTTTAGGGTATTTTGTAAACCCGAAGCCCAAAGGCGAGACCCGTACATTCCTTCGCTCGGCTCTCTTCCCGGCCTTCCAGTTCTCTGCGCCGCAGGCCTGACTCCAAAGAAAGTAGGGGGGCCAACCCAGATAAGGGTTTAGGGTTTAGGGTTTAGGGTTTAGGGTTTAGGGTTTCGGGCTCATAGACCCATAAGCTCCGAAAGCCATACACCCTCTCGAGCCCCAAGAGACTCCTTATCAGTCACTTTAAAGCTGATACTACGCGAACCCCGGCCCATTATTGGGATCATATACCCACACTGATATCATCCCTACAAGGTGTGTTTGGACAAACCCTTTTGGATCTGTCGGGTTCCTTTATGCTTCAAGGAACCGCTTCTTCCCGAGCTCTTAGACAGAACCCATCCTCGATCGAAGGCTTTTCTTGGTCTGACAGCTGCGCCGTGTTGGATGTTAACGTCCGTTTGCCAGGTCTGCCTTGTCCTCCAAACGTATGAGGACTGGAACATGTAGAACCTCATGGCCCTCCACGTGTGACGTGCTAACTTTGTACAGCGTGACACTGCCTGACTTGGCAGGCAGCAGAACGACACGTCTTAATTGCAGCATGTCGTCGCGCGCAAGGGATTGCAAGGACGAAAGCAGCTATGATGTCGCAGCTGTGTTGACTACATCCCCCGACGCTCGACGTGCCCAGAACTGCAAACCACGAAGATGTCTCTTCGGAAAATGCGTTGCCCTGGGGGAAAATTAATCAGTATTTTGTGTCAGTGGGACCGTGAAGTCAACCGCGGATACCAAAGCGTAGTCGACAGCGCATCAAGCGTGGCCACTGGTCCTCAGGCCAGTTGGCCACAATGTCACCTCAGCCCACAGACAAGTCATTCAAGGTGCTTCTACTACCCTAAGCCCGAAACCCTATGGCAGCAGCCCTCCGTAACCCATGGAAAAGGGAAACCCGAAACCCGAAACCCTAAACCCTAAACCCTGAACCCTAAACCCGAAAAACTCAAATACGCCCAGGAGCCGGCGACCTCGTGGACCACTCCATCGATCTCCACATACCTGCTTTTTGGGGGGTGGGGGGTGGGGGGTGGTAGGGTGGAGTTTAGGGTTTTGGGTTTAGGGTTTTGGGTTTAGGGTTTAGGGCTTCGGTAACCCCATTTGGGGGATTCCTTTAATGATTGCAATCTTCTGATGAGTTTACCACCCGTGTTTGAGGGGCTCCAATGATAATGGGAGTACCCTAATAGCATTGCCACCCTACTGAGAATCACAAATATTCGTTTTCTTGGATATAAGACAAGGTGTTCCTTGGCGTTGGAGTCCGTGATTTTTTGGAGTAGATAACAGGACGGGGGGTGCATACTTTAATCACAGAGGTTTTTGATGAGATATTCCACCTTTGGAGGTTCCTAGATGGGGAATATAACCCTACACCCTAAACCCAAGATAAGGGCAGGGTCAGTGGTGTAGAGGGGGCTCTAGGACCCTATTCAACACGCAAGCCCATTTAACATGCCTCTTACATGAAACCCTAACCGCTAAACCCTACCACCGTTAGCACAGCTAATTTTACCGAATTTCTAGACCCCTGCAAACTCTAAACTCCATAAGCCCTGAACCATCTCATCGTCAGTCCTGCCAACGAAGGTTCAAAAAAGCTCCCTAAACCCTAAACCCTAAACCCTAAACCCTAAACCCTAAACCCTAAACCCTAATTATCCACTTCCGGCCTCGCATCTGCCCTCGCTGGGCGATGTACAGCCTGCTGCTGAACCGAGTCATGCCCGTCACGCAGAACTGTGGGAACCCTGTACGTGAAACGCTTTATAGGGTTTAGGATTTATAGGGTTTATACGGTTTAGGGTGTTTAGGGTTTAGGGTGCAATCTTTTTTCTGTGTATGGATAATTATGTCTAATACAAACATTATATACATGTTACTATATAACATTGTGTGATGGTGTGTGAGCCGCATGGACCCCCCAACCCCAACGCACCCAGGAAGTCTTGACGAGCCCCAACCGCCCCCCCCCCCCCAAAAAAAAAAAAAAAACACTTTAAGCTTGCTTGTTGTTCTCATGATGCTTGCTACTATTCCTACTGCTATTGTCGTTTCTATTCCTATTACCATGATGTTTGTGATTCTGATTATGATCTATTACTTGTTCTTCCTTTTTTGCTCTTGTTCTTGCCTTGCTATTGTTGTTCTCAATATTGTTGCGATTATGGGTAGTGCAACAACCATCCGGCTGCAGGAGACCATGCTCCGGTAGCGCCTCCGGCTCAGTGGCTTGCACCGGCTCCCACATTCCTCTCTGGGGCTCTTGGGCTGCGGAACGCGCCTAAACCCTAAACCCTAAACCCTAAACCCTAAACCCCAAACCCCAAACCCTGAACCCAAAACCCAAACCCTGAAAGGTCCTTGAGTCCAGATCGTCTGGCCTTGACGCGGGCAGGAGATCCTACTTTGGAGTAGACCCTGGAAAAAAGTATACATGCTATAAGAGAAACCCAGAACCAAAAAATCAATAAAAGTATAGTACTCCAAAACCCTGTTAAGGAGTCTAAACCCTAAACCCTACTTCCGGTATTAGAGTATAGTGCTCTAAAACCCTGGAGATCTTGAGCGGTCTTGTTGCCATTTTCAGGGACTTGCGTATGCCGAACCGGTCGGACCACCTGTCGCTCAAAAAAACACACATCTTAGGCATGTTCCACCTGCTGTCGAAAACTCCCCCCCACCACCGGGCGAATTCGTCGGATTTGTTTCTCTGGTGGCTTAAGCCCAAGTGACCCTCAACCCTAGAACGGAAAGCTTATAAGCCCTCAACCCGAAACCGTAAACCATCGTAAGCCCTAGACCTTAGAAATGTAAACCCAATTCAACCTCAGGGAAGGGTCTAGGGCCTAGGGTTTTCCTTTGGAAAGCCTCTGTTCAATTTTGGACCATTAATCTCGACTGCTGACCTCGTCCCAATTAGGAACGAGGGACTCATGTGTCTAAGGGAACTTCAAGTTTCCCAATCTCTTGACTCCCCAGTAAGGACTTGTAGGTTTGGGCGGTACTTGGGGTTCTATATGGCCTTCGTCGTCCCAGCCCCTGCGTTTGTTCTTAGTCGGGGGTCATGTAAGGGGGGGGAACCCTAAACCCTAAACCCTGTGGCCCACATTCGATTCAGCGCGCTTGAGATCAGGGAAAAAACTTCACGCAGAGCCAGACATGCGATTGGATGCCACGACTTCCCCTCACAGATGGGGCAAGAGGATACCACCCCCCCCCCCCCCCCCCCCGCTCACACACACCCGAAGTACAGCAGAATCCTCTTGTGAGGACCCCAACGGAACCCCAAACCCCAAACCCCAAACCCCAAACCCCAAACCCTAAACCCTAAACCCCAACCCTGAACCCTCAACCCTCAACCCTCCACCCTAAACCCCAAACCCCAAATCTCCAAACCCGAAATCCCCAAAAAGCCAGATCAGAGAGCAAGCCGAGTCCCCGACCCTCGTCGAGCTTCCCCGTCCGAGCAGGGAGCTCCCAATCAGCGGCCTTGGACCCATCCTTTGCCTGGAAGTAGCCACCTGAACCGGACATGCGTTTAGGGTTTAGGGTTTAGGGTTTGGGGTTTAGGGTTTATGGTTTCGGGTTTAGGAGTTAGGGTCCCTTTGGGGTGCTTACGAATGGGATTCTGCCACACTTAGGCGAGGGGTACCCCATTTCAGGAAATGCCCAGATTCATGTTTAAGATTCTGGGGGATCAGGGGCCCTTATATTTGGGGGCCGTCTGGTGGGATCCAGGGGCTGCACGGATGAAGCAAAGATGGCGAAGGAGAAACAGGCCTTGCGCGCTCAAGATGTCGTCGATTGGCACAGCAAACTTGTAGCCCGCCGGCGCATATCTCATCTCTGTCTCGGAAGCCTGCGTTGGTTTAGGGTTTAGGGTTTAGGGTTTAGGGTTTAGGGTTTAGGGATTCCCCTTAGGGGATAGGATTAGGGGGGGACCCTTGGGGATATAGACCCTCTGAATAAGGTCCTTGTTTAAGAGAGCCCGAAGAGGGTTGAGAAGGGTTCCCCTCTAAGTGTCCCCCTTATATCCTACCTAGAACCCCTCTAAACGAACCCCAAACCCCATAAGCACCCCTCTTAAAGCCCTATACAAACTCCGGGGCACTGAGGTGCTAAAGAGGCCTTCATTCAAAACAAAAAACCCATTGAAACCCTTTATCGGTGATGCACATGGCTCCTGAGATGATTGCGGGTTGGAAGATGCGAACATCCAGCACACTCCTACCCCAGCAAGAGCCATGCTGGTAGAACTCTCGCTTTTGGATTTTGAGTTTGCAAACGCGGAGGCCCCTTTTCGGGGATGACGCCTGAACTTGAGAGATGAGAGTCCTCTAGTAGCATCAGCCTGAGAGTCTGTACCGTGACTGCAACCCCGACAGCACTTGCGGGGAAGAACGTCGAACCGGTTTTGCATATCTTGAAGAGCCCACCTGACCTGAAACTCGGCATAGCACGATATATCGTGTTTTTCGACATTGTGATATTCTGATATTATGATAAGATGGTTATTGGCTATGACACGTTTGTACTTTCTAAGCATATTACTGTATTACTGTATTAATATATACCATTATATCAAAGCTTATGTCAACGTATGTGCCATCGAGGCAAGGAGTCAGCCAAAGCAACGACAATCGGCCAATGGCCTCTTCTCGGGGCTCCAGCGTCTCGCAGCACACGCGCTCCCCTTCCAGGCTCCATCTCCCATAATGCTGCTCACCCTGAGATGACCTCGAAACTGCATCCGTCTGAGCTGCAGCCAATCTACGCAAGAGCAGCTTAAATTTAGGAATAAGCAGGGTATACCCTTTTTGGCTTAAAGATTTTCGGGGAACCCAGACTAAGAGAGACAAGGCGCCACGCATCATATGTCCTGGTCCAGGCTAGCCTGCAGGCCCCCATCCACAAATCCAATCATTTGGCCGGTGCTCTCTCCTTCTCTCTCGTTTAGGGTTTAGGGTTTAGGGTTTAGGGTTTAGGGTTTAGGGTTTAGGGTTTAGGGTTTAGGGTTTAGGGTTTAGGGTTTAGGGACCAGATGAACCCTAAAAGGGCTTGTGGTTCGCATACCTTCATCGGAATTGTCGTGGTAGAGGGTCTAAGACCCCAATCTTAGAGGTTCATTTGGTCCCCAAGGCTGTCTTCTGTGCGAGCCTGTAGGTCCCATCGCGGAAAAAGTGGAAATTGAACCCGACGCTCTCCTGCCGGGGCACATTGGGTTTGGGGTTTGAAGTTTTAGGGGTTTAGGGTTTAGGTTTAGGGAAACGCAGGTCGGGGACCAAGCTGTGAAACTTCAGAACAAACCCTCCGAAAATGACACTGAACCCCAGAAACCTATTTTCAGCCATAGGCCGTGAACCCTGAACCATAACTAAATCCGACTCAGTGCCTCGAAGTCTTCGCCCAATGGGCGGACTGCGCTGTAGCCTGGGGAGCTCAACTCAGTTGCTCCAAAGGTTTAGGGTTTAGGGTTTTAGGTTTAGGGTTTAGGGTTTAGGGTTTAGGGTTCAGGGCTTCAGGTTTAGCCTTGAAAAAGGAAGCCCAACAAGCAAAGCCTTTGGGCACTAAGCATCACAAACATCCCCAAGCCCTGAACCCGAAGCCTCACAAACCTGCAGCCGCCCGATCCCCCGCCCAAAACCCTACAAACCCTACAGACGACCCTCAAAAACCCCTGAACCCTCGAAAACCCTAAACCCAAAACCCTCTAACCCCTAACCCCTAAACCCTAAACCCAAATTCTGGATTCAGGTATCAGCCCCGGGTCTCCAGCCTCAGAGGCTCCTGCCCCACCAGTGCGTCTAAGCGGCAGTATGCGAGCGAGTCTTGGTCTTTCAAGCGTCGCTTGAAGCCTGGCTTCGGGGTTCGGGTTGGTTCAGCCCTAACCCTAAACCCTAAACCCTAAACCCTAAACCCCCTAACCCTTATACCTTAAACCCTAAACCCTAAACCCTAAACCCCTCAACTCTAAACCCATCACTGCAAAGCGGCGGCTTGGGGCCCCCCCGGGGGTTTCAGCTGCTTGGGCAGCTCCGGGGTTCATCGGTTAGAGGACATACCTGGGGTTTAGGGTTTAGGGTTTAGGGTTTAGGGTTTAGGGCTTAGGGTTTAGGGTTTAGGGTTTAGGGTTTAGGGTTTAGGCGCTTCGACTTAAAGTCCTTAATAGGGATTAGAGTAGGGGGTACTATCATCCCTGTTAAGGACTCTTAGGACTGTTAGTAGAGGGGGGAACATGCCAAGACATACCCTGCAAAGGCACACTTCAAAAGGTGTACTCTCCCCAGCCCTAACCCTAAACCCTAAACCCTAAGCCCCGTCTGGATGCCCTCAGCCAGAAACCCTCAAGGCTATGAGAAACCCCACCCCCCCCCCCCCCCCCCCCCCCCCCCCCCCCCCTCCAAAAAAAAAATAAATAAAAAACTCAACTTAAAACCTGTGTTAAGCCAGAGCCCTAAACCTAAGCCCTACAAAACCCGAACCCCCCTCCACCCCCCCCCCCCCCCCCCACCCCCCCCCCCCCCCCCCCCCCCCCCAGCCCTAAACCCTGAACGTCCCTCCCTTAAACCCGAAACCCGAAACCCGAAACCCGAAACCCTAAACCTTAAACACGAAACCCTGAACCCTAAACCCTAAACCAGAAACCCTAAAACCCGAAACCCTAACAAAAACCTAAAACCGGAAACTAAACTCTAACCCGAAACCCTAAACCCTAAACCCCAAACCCTAAACCCCAAACCCTAAACCCTTTTTGAGGGCTTAAGGCCCATCCCTGAGGCCCCAGCGGATGCGAGCGTCGAGCTTGAGGGCGTCGTAGAGGAAAAGCTTCCAAGGCTTACCTTTGGCAGCCCCAGTGACCATCTCATCAAAAGGGTTTAGGGTTTAGGGTTTAGGGTTTTGGGCTACTGTTTTGAGGGAGCCTGGAACCCCCCAAAAATGGCCAAAGGGCACCACTGGGCTGCCAAGTTGCAGCTGATGCAAGCCTTCGGCTCGGTTACATACCTCGGCTGGCTTAGGGTTTGTAGGATTCAGGGTTTAGGGTTTAGGGTTTGTAGGATTTAGGGTTTGGGGTTCAGGGTTGAGGGTTTGAGTTTGAGGTTCGGCGCTTCGCGGGCTTATAAACAGCTTTGGGGTCAGGGTACAAGGCTAGGCCCGTGCCTTGGCCCGGCCCCTCGTTGCCTTGGCTCCTAGGCCTTGTCTGTAGGGCCTGTACCTGCTTAACCCGAAACCCTAAACCCTAAACCCTAAACCCTAAACCCTCGAACCTAAACCTTAAACTCTAAACCCTGAACCCTATATGAAGCCCCAAAATGTTTGGGGGCACCAAAGCAGGGACGGGCTTTCCGGACCACAGCCTGGGTTTCGGGTTAAGTATTAGGGTTTTGGTCTAGGGCTGAGGGTAGGGTTTTGGGTTTGGGGTTTAGGGCAGTGCGCTTTTGAAACCTTCGAACACCATTTAACAAAACACACACACACACACACACAAACCCTCAGCGACCATCCCCCCCCCCCAAACCCGAACACCCTCACACCTGAATTCCCGAACACCCTAAACCCTAACACCCTTCCCCCCTAAACCCCAACAAAGTGGAGATCCTGCACGCCAAGTCACTCCAAGATTTTGGCCTTGCCGCGGCGCTTGAGGGACTTGGGCTCTAAGCTTTGGCTGCGGTTTAGGGTTAGGGTTTGGGTTTAGGGTTTAGGGTTTAGGGTTAAGGTTTTTTGGGTTTGGGGTTTGGGGTTTAGGGTTTAGGGTTTGGAGGAGCCCTAAATCCTGTCTTTCTGCCGCCGCACCGTGCATGTAAGTCATAGATGTATATAGATGATATGCTTCTATTGCCGAAGTGCTGTAGGCTTGCATGTACATGTGTGTTTTTTACGATACGCATACATATAGAGACAAACCTTAAACCCTCAACCCTAAACCCTAAACCCTAAAACCTAAACCCTAAACCCTAAACCCTAAACCCTACACCCTAAACTCCCTCAACCCACAATCATGGAGGCCCCTGAGGCATCGAAGGACTGATAGGCCACTGGCATTGGGCAACCTGAGCTTCGAGCATGGAGCTCCTGCGGCTTCAATTTGGTTTAGGGTTTAGGGTTTAGGGTTTAGGGTTTAGGGTTTAGGGTTTAGGGTTTAGGGTTTCGGGTTTAGGGTTTAGGGTTTAGGGTTTAGGGGGGGTCAGGGATTTGGGGGCTGGGGCTGAGGGTTGAGGGTGTAGGGCCGTGTAGGGTTTGCGGCGAGTTTGTGGTTTGGGGTGTGGGCTTTGTTTGGGGCGGGGGCTCTGGGGTTGGGGTGTCCGGCATGGGCGGGGCTTGCCTCGAAAGGTCCACGTCGCCTCTGCTTGTAATGTCGTATATATCGATCAAGGCAATCAAAACAGAGGCTAAGGGGCAACAACCATGCAATAACTCTATAGCCCTAAGTCCAGGAACGCTAACACAAGTCTCGGAGGGTCCTCATCGAGCAGCGGCAACGGCCCCATGTCGGCGCGTAGGGAAACCTACAGATCTCGAACTGGATGCCCAAGTCGACGGACACCATGAGCCAAAGACGCCACGAAAGTGGTGGTTCTCCGCTTTCTGGCCGCAGGGCATAGGGTGCCAGAGCCGAAGCCCCAAAACCGAAAACATCTGGGCTAGTTGTAATCCTTACACCCGAAGCAGAAGCTTGCATGAAACCCTAAGCCCTGATAGTATGTCTCGGTAAGCCCCGGTCTTCCAAATTTGGGGCCCATGTTGGTACCCCAAGCTAGAAGGGTAACGGAAACATGTAGTGTCGTAGATACGGCAAAAAAGGGCTATACCGGAGAACAAACCCATGTGACCCCATTGTCAAGAACTGTCCGCGCTGGGGCTCCTAGCCCCTAAACCCTAAACCCTAAACCCTAAATCCTAAACCCTACAGCCCAAGACCCTAAACCCTAAACCCCCAAACACGAAATCCCTCAACCCCCAAGAGACCCTGAGCCGGACCGGCGCCTTGAAGAGCTTGAAGCCGCCCTCATCGATTTCCTCAGCGGCGGCACCCCGGAATCCCCCCCGAAGCCTGGAACAGAAGGATAGGGTTTAGGGTTTAGGGTTTAGGGTTTAGGGTTTAGGGTTTATAAGGTTTATAGGGTTTATAGGGTGTAGGGTTTAGGGCTTAGGGTCTAGGGTTTAGGGCCCCAGTACCAGCATGGGCTATTCCACCCTATAGCCCCTCAACAAATAGGCACTTTATAGGGCTGATTCCGGGGATTCCAGGGCCTCATGGCCCATCCTGGGTACTCGATATGGTCACTTCTCTAAATTGCGGTCGCTTTTTGGGTGCCCTACATAATCGGCGCCGCTTTTTTTACGGACCCCAAAAGGGACCACATGTCAGAGAAGTGGCCATATGGGTTTATAAAGGGGTAGGGCTGAGCGTAGGGTATAGGGCTGAGGTTTTGAGGCTGAGGGTTGAGTGAAAGTCGCTACTCAATTCCCAAGCATCCTCTGAAGCCCTCTACCCCTCGAGCCTTAGAACCCTAAACCCTAAACCCTAAACCCCCCTAAACTCCCTAACCCGGAGCCTTCAGCTCCACTGACCCCCGAAACCCGATAATGTGAACCAAGAGTAACCTAGGAATGAAAAAGGGTGCCCGTTTTGGGTTTGAGGGCTAAACCCCAAACCCTGCCCTAAACCCTGAACCCTGAACCCTGAACCCTAAACCCTAAACCCGAAAACCTAAAACCTAAACCCTAAACCCTAAACCCGCAACCCTAAACCCTAAACCCTAAACCCTAAACCCTAAACCCTAAACCCTAAACCCTAAACCCTAAACCCTAGCCGGAGCCAAGCTGAGCCCAGCGCCATGCCAAAGAATGTCTGCAACCCGACATGGTGCCATGGCCTGGGTTCGCTCTTTGGGGTTTAGGGTCAA